CCAGGCGCTCACATACTGGCTCCAAGGTGGGGCCCCGGCTGTCCTTGTTTTCACTTCACTCATAAGGTTTTTTGAAGGTTTTCTTGGTCTGACCCGTCGCCTAGGACCGGTTTGCCTTGGGAGACCCTACCAGGGTCATATAGCCCCGGACAACATAGCTCATAGGGTCGTTCGGGTACTCAAACCCCTCCACCGCGTTAAGGTGGTAGTGCAAGGAGGGGTTGATTAGAATCACTTTTTTTCTATTTCAGTTTATTATAATGGGGATTTGTTATACCCTATATGAAGAGTACAGATGCAAAAGCCTCAAAGAGCCATTTGAAATTTTCTTCTAAAATTATCATTTTTTATCAAGCTTGTATATTTAAGTTCAGTAATTTCACTTAAATGGCAATGAAGATTACCTATTAATGGTCATTTAAGTGAAATTACTGAACTTAAATACACAAGCTTGATAAAAATGGTCATTCTAGAACCAAATTTCAAATGGCACTTAGAGGCTTTTGCATCTGAACTCTTCATATATACATTACACATACAGTATTTGAATATGAGTGGTTTTCTGTTTTTTTTTTTTTTTTTCAATAAATATAACACCAATATAATGGTTTGAATAGCTAGTATCTAATGATTATGGGGGATGTTCATTTGGACCAACATGTTTCAGGTGGGGATCATCAACATTTGCTTCTTAGACATCATAAAGACTGTAAAAGTACAAAAGTTAGAAAACATATATCAATAGGGTCCTGAGGACAGGAGTTCCAGTGATCCAATGTCACAATTTATTTTTACATTTTTTGGTGTTCATTTGAGTGTTTATGCACTATACATCATCTAATCATGACTTGATGATGAATTTAGGGTCTCAGGTATATCTACCATAAGGGAGTGCGTCTTTTTCCACTCGTAGAGTGGGAGCATTCGTGGAATTTCCAGAGAGTTGGGGGAATCAAATTCAGGTTTCACCGTATCATGATCCCACATGTCCAGTTCACCACACTTGAGCCATGAATGTTTGTTGTTATTTTGTTCAGATTGTCCCACTCGAGATGAAACACATTCCCTCACCAGTAGTAATAATAATAATAATGAAAGTATAATTAATTAATTATTAAGCATAACATTTTTTTTTTTCAACTTAACAGCAGTGTTGTAGTACTCGAAACTCGGACTCGTCTCGGACTCGGTCTCGAGACCATATTTTAATGGTCTTGGTCTTGTCATGGACTCGTGTCCATTTGGACTCGGAATGTATGTTAATAAAATATTTCTTTAAATTGATTGACACGCCCAGTGATTGGTGATTTTCTAGTGTGCAACTGCGCATGACAAATTGTAATAAAATTACTTTTAACACCACCTACTATGCGGCCTTTTTACCCTAAACTGATCATATTTTTAAACTCTAAGTAAATTCATTAAAAAAAAAAAAAAAAAGGATTTCTCCAAGTAAATAAAAGTAAATTAGGTAATCAACCCTCACTGGTCTCGACTCGGACTCGACCGTCTCTGGTCTCGGACTCGACTTTCTATGGACTCGGTCTTGACTCGGACTCGACTCTCTCTGGTCTCGGTCTCGACACGGACTCGAGTGAGGTGGTCTCGACTACAACACTGCTTAACAGAAATCTGGAGAGACCATTATCTGCCAGTTAATGTGGGCTTCCATAACGCTAAATGCTCTTCACCAAGAAAGACCTTTCTAATTGTGTGTCGGTGCATGGTGTAGGCTATGTATTTGTGTAGTTAGTTTAAAAATGTATGTTAAATAAACCTCACATTACCAGTGAATCCTAATTACATGATGTGATTTTAATTAATGTATATTTTTGAACACATTGTATCTTAAAATGTATTATTTAATTAAAATATCTATGTTATATTTTTAATGTGCAACAAGTGAACATTGGGAACAAGCTCAACATGTGCTCAACAATAATTTACATAGCCAGTTATAAAAAATGCAGGAGATTTATCAAATCGAAAACTAAAGGAGAAAAACAGACTGCCTATGTGCTTTTTTGGATATCCAGGGTGGCAACCAATATAGCCAGAAAATACATACATGTGACAATATTTCAGATGGGGATCATCAACATTTGCTTCTTAGACATCCTAAAGACTAAAAATACAAAAGTTAGAAAACATATATCAGAAGGGTCCATAGGGGAGGAGTTCCAGTGATCTAATGTCACAATTTTTTGACATTTTTTGGTGTTTATTTGAGTTTTTATGCACTATACATCATCTAATCAAGACAATCCTCATATCTATCAATTCCTCATGCAAAGACAAAGAGAAAATTGGGTAGATTGTGTCTGTACGATGTATTGTTCAGATTCTATGTAGGTTTAAAGTTTTCATTTTCCGCAGCCAAAAATCAAGCACGGACACAAAAGATGATACAAAAAAAAATCACATATGGGACAAAAATTTGCGCGGGGAACATCAAAATTCCTTTTCTAGACACCTTAAGGATTACAAAAAACTAGGTTAAAAAAATATATCTTTCGGGTGCAGGTGAACCCCCCCTTCCTACCCTACTATATGGTTAGGTGTGGGGTCAGTATTATCCTGTCACTCAACATGATGTCTGTTCTACATCTGTAAATGTCTTTTCTCACAATAAACATGGACTATATTTACACAGTAATGATGTTTTCTGGTGTCTGGTCACTGAGGTCAGATGGGGAATATCACGTCCTAAATCACCATCATTATGAGATTACAGCGTTTCTGCGAGGCTGTTCGTGGCGTCAGGAGGAGCGTCCGGCTGAGATGCAGTGGGTTTTCACAATTTAATTACGAGTTTTTACTATTCAGAAACTCGTGGAATTTCAAACATGTTTAAAATGACTTCAGGGTTCGTACAAGGTGCTTGACATTTATGAAAAGTGTTTGAATTATTAATCAGACAATGTGTAAAAAATCAACGCCACAACCCGTCTGATAAAGAGTGATATTGCTCATATAAATATACATCTTTCATTCTTCAACTCAATGTCAGTTTGAATCAGGAAAGCGATATCTTTGTCATATCCTTTCAATGGTTAAAGTTACCAGTGTTTGCTCTTTATTTGTTCCATATTAATGTATTTTTGAATTTAAAAGATATTGTTTGATAATTACAGTAGTGTCTCTCTCTAGAGAAAGCAGGAGGCTGGAGTCACGGCTGTGGTTTAAGAGCACTTTATTGTTCATTGAGGCTACTTAAAAGTACAAAACAATGGCCTGCCAAAAGTTTGTTTTATTCCAAGGAGAAACAAGGCCATGAAATGAGGGAATAATACAGATTTACACATCATTAAGAAGTACACTCGAGGTGCAGTGAAGTGTTTTAAACGTTGGTTTCTCGTCGTCGTTCTCCTGGAAGCGCACATCAATATAGAAAATATCGTCGCTCAAATCCCAGCGGATCGCATGGGAACGAGGAACTCGCTCGGGACTCGAGGTCCGTTTGTTCTAATGTCTCCAGAGACAGTTCAGAAGTGTGTGAGACTCTGCTCAGTAGCCTTCGGAAATAATACACAAGTGGCTATTACACTAACGCAGTGTTTTCATAGAATAACTGTGTTCCTGCACTTTAACCTTAAACAGACAAAAAAAGAAAAAAAACCCTACAAACAAAAAAGATCAACTTTTTTCCTCGAGAAAAAAAAAGAAAAAAAAAAAGCATGATTACAATAAAGGACAAAGGGAAAAATTAAATAGCTACATATCATTAACAAATTAATTGTTCCTCAAAAATACCTACGATTTTTTTTTCTCTGTACATTCGTTACGCACAGCGTAATGATGGTCTTATAGTTTCCTATATAAAAACTTTTTTTTGTTTTTCTTTAAGTGATTTGCCTACAGTGTGTATGTAGGATGACAAGCAGAGAGTGAGAAAGTGTGGTATACACAGTAAACTGGTCGTGAAATGTGTGTGTGTGATGGTGGGATTGGACAACGGTGTGGCAAACATGCAAACGGAACGATGAAATCAAAGATGTGGGACATTCACCAGATCCGACGTTTGTAACTGGGCCGAAGGAATGTAAGGACGAGCGCAAGCGTCTACTGCATCTGCAACCTCTCGTCACACGTTCTGGTTAGTAGCTAAACTGAACACAGGAGAAGGTACAAGACGTCCCCTAGCAGAGGAATGTAGTGTGTTTGGGTGAAGCAGAGTTAAGAGGAGATGAAGAACGACGAACACACACGGAGTTAGCTTGACGCTTTCGGCAGATTGTCAACGCTAGTTGACGTGTCCATAACTGCGAACGCTGCTTTTTCAGTCATGCAAAGCGACAGCATCCTGTACCACGGATTAATATCATACAAAAACCAACCGTTAATATATATTTTATATATATATTTATATAGATGGCCTGTCCGGAGGCTGATTTCTCTTCTGTATCTGGCAGCTACCACAATGAATATTGAATAGAAAATAATATGGAGTACAACTGTACCAGCAGTAAGTTTATCTAGGACTGTTACTGACAAAAATAGAATCAAATCTGAAGAAAAAAAGGCTAAAAGTATTATGATTGAAATGTCTACACGATAATAGATACCAGCTATTTATTTATTTGTTCAAAAACATGCACCTAAAAGCACTAGTCTACTCTTAAACGTCTACTCTACTAAACCACAGTGCCTGGGGGGGGGGGGGACCAATCCAAAACAACAGAAATGCCCACGTTCTGCCGAAGTCCAGTTGAAAGTGTGTTTAAGAACGCATCAATTCCCGTCTGTGACGACATCACCGCTCTGAACACCCGACACAAAATGACACCACCTCCATCCAGCCATAGTGCAAAATCAGTCCAGGCCTTTCGTTTCAAGTGATCACACATGCAGATTCAGCCGGTGTGTGTAAGACAGAATGGGCACAAAGGAAGAATGGCTTCTGGGTAAAAAGGTTTGCATCAGCGGTTTCTTTGGTATCTGGATGGTTAGATAAGCGCCTGGCTGATTTTGATCTCAAAAAAAAATTTTTTTTTAAGCTACGGGCATCCCATAATGCAACAGCCAAGCTATAAGTATACTAGAAAACTTACAAACAAACAAACGAATTGAAAGGAAAGAAAATGCACAAGTGACAGTTTAAGCGAGCGTTCTTATGTACACAGATACACACGAGCTCTGCTAAAGCATGCGTGCTGCTCAGAGTGGGTTAGTCTGGAAGAGGTTCTGGTTTCGCTGGTCCTCAGGACACGAGGGACGGGGATTGGTTGTGGTTGACCATGTGAGCGCTGGAGGAGGAGGAGTCTGGGGTCTTGGCCTTGATCTGGAGCCACGTCTCCCCCAGGGCCTTGGCGAAGTGGTCGTCCACCGAGCCGGTGATAGACACGGAGTTGGGCTCGGGCTCCGGCTCCTTGTAGTTTTTGCCCAAACTGCGCCGGAAGTGCTCCTCGATCACGGGGTCGCAGGCGGTGTTCGCTGCACAAGAGAGAACCACACTCAGTGCACATCAAAGACACTAGATCATAGCAAGCAATAGCCGTCACTTCTCTATCTAGATTAACTATAGACCCGATATAGTCTGGCTGTAACACTCTTCCTGCCAAAATAACCTTGAATTTGGTTACATGTCGTTTTTGCCAGAATAACTTGCTAGATGCATTATATTCCACCATGTAAGTAAAGTCAACAGTGATTACAAGCGGTTTAGTTTCATTTCTTCACTCATTTCATTTCTTTGTTGTCTAATTGTTGACTAGACTATTGTTGGGCATTGTTTTAACCTCTTTCCATAGATATGCTTCAAAACAGGGCCGAATGTCTTTTTCCTTTTCTTTTTTTTTTGAATGGACATTCACACAAAAGTATGTCAAAAATGCTCATGTATCCTAGTAAACACAGTCAGTGAAGTGAACATAAACCGTTGAGAAAGAGAGCTTATGTATACAGTAACAGGTTTTCAAATCCGAGAAAAAACAAACGCTGCTTTTGACTGAATAACTTATTCATATATAATTCAGCCAAGTATAGGCAAATAAACAGCTCGAGTGTCACACGTGCTTCAGTGTCTGTGTGTGTTAAATGAAACTGTGTCGACTGCACCATTCATTCACACTGAACATGTATGATTCGCATTTAAATAGTATTATTGCGGGTTAGAGTATTATTACAAAACAATGGTAGGGGAAACACTGAGTTATTTGCAACTTGTGAAGCTTGTGAACATATTAGCAACAGCTAATAGTAACAGTGTTCAGTTTTATTGTTGTCATCAATTAATACACGTCTTAATTACATTAGGCTGACACATTTTTACATGAATACATTATGTTGTCAATAAAATACCTTTATCTGTCAGTTTAGGCCACTACCTGACATCATCTACCCAATGTTCCTTCACCAAACATGTTCTTTTATGAGTAGGACCCGCTTTCATTGAAATGTCATTAGAGGGCACCGGCAAGTGTTAGCAGGCAGGCAGTAATGGCGGCAGGCAAGATGGCGGCGCCCAGAGTTCGCAGATTTTTGTATACACAACCCATGACATTGGAAGCATACTTTCACATTTGAAAATCAATGCTACTGGAACAAAGTGAAGACTAGTAGTGCACACTTAAAGGAACACTCCGACTTTTTGGGACTTTAGCCTATTCACCTTACCCCCCAGAGTTAGATAAGTCCATACATACCTTTTTCATCTCCGTGCGTGCTATAAGTCTGTTTGACGCACCCACCGCTAGCCTAGCTTAGCACAAAGACTGGATGTGAATGGTTGCAGCTTTCATACTAATCCAAATGAGTGGCAAAATAACGCAAACGTTTTCCTATTTACATGTTGTGGTTTGTATAGTCACAGAGTGTGCAAATATCAAGGCCATATGAGACACAGACATCATATAACCGTATAAATAATTCTGAAGGCGAAGCACTGCTACTTGGGCAGAGTGAACCATCACCTGAGACGCACCGTGACGAAGAGCAGAGAGTTCGCTCAGTGTTGAAGTAAAGAGTCAGCAATTACTAACGTTAGATAGAAAAGCATAGTTTGTCATGGGTGTTTGCTTTATTGTATGAGCTGTGACAATAAACAGGGGAGACCAGGTACCATGTTTCATTGATTTCCAACCAAAAACGCACCCAGATGTATAAATATCACATGAATAAATAATTATTATTACAGGAATCAATATATTTTAATTGCAATTTATTAGCTGAACCAATGTATTCAACAGTATATAATATACAGTATAACTGCATTACTATAGGATAGAATACGGGGAAAGTAACAGCACAAATTGTTTTTGCACAATGAACTCACAGCCTATCGTACCCTTTTGCACGCTCAAGTTCGTTATTTCCATGGTTATTTCAAATTTAGGCTACTAGGCGCGCCGCGCGCAAGTTCAACGCGGTGAACGCGCTCGTTTTTTTCCAAGCGTGTCCGCACCGCATCAAGATAAAAACATATTCATACCCTAATCATATAATAGTGTCACTAACGTTACATTAGCTCTGGCTAATGGCACTGTTACAGTAGGTCATCTAAAAACATAACGGAAAACTTACCTCAGCCGCAGGTGATCCGCTTGTCCTGTCTGTGCTACAGATGGGATGGCCGTATCCTTCAGCACATTATGGTCCGTGTGGCAAATTCCATTTTTTCAAAATAGTCGTCCATTGAAATGTACCGAGCAAACATAATGTCCCTTGATAATCTATTTAGGTGTGTTTGGATAAATATCCAGAGTAAGTAAGTTAGCCATTTCTTCATCCAGTCAGCGTTTTTAGTTGGAATTCTGTGAAACATGGTATTACCTCCCCTGTTTACTGTCGCAGCTATTTACAATAGAGCGAAAACCCATGACTGTAAACTACGCTTTTACTATTTATAAATTGCTGACTCTGTTACCCAAACACTGAGCGAACTCTCCGCTCCTCACCACGGCGTGTCTCCGGTGATGCGGTTATCACTCCGCCAAAGTAGCAGTGCTTCGCCTTCAGAACATATAGTATTTATACGGTCAAAAGATGTCTGTGTCTCATTTGACTTTGTTATTTGTACATTCTGTGACTATACAAACCACAACATGTAAATAGGAAAACGTTTGCGTTATTTTGCCACTCATTTGGATTAGTATGAAAGCTGCAACCATTCACATCCAGTCTTTGTGCTAAGCTAGGCTAGCGGTGGGTGCGTCAAACAGACTTACAGCACACACGGAGATGAAAAAGGTATGTATGGACTTATCTAACTCTGGGGGGTAAGGTGAATAGGCTAAAGTCCCAAAAAGTCGGAGTGTTCCTTTAATGTGGCACAGGATAACACAATTTACTTTAGATTTACAAAATTAGAATTTTCACTGCATGACTAATATTGTTTTTTTATTAAGTTCTCAACCAAAAAAAAAAATTGCAATACAATTAAAAAAATTAAATCTGAATGGATTTTTATAGGTGGATATTTATTTATTCATTTTTAAGATTTCTTGGCCCTTCATACACATTTAAACTTTGATTTAAAACTTTAGTAGCAGGGTTGATCTTAACTAATGCGATTAATATTGTTTAATAACAAACTGATATTTACTTAAACGATGTCACTTCCTGCATGTTACAATCACTTCTGGTGAAATTGAAAGTTTACATACTTTATCTGACATCTAATAGTTCTCTTTATAAAGGAAATGTGATCAGTGGCATTTTTAGGTGAAAGACATGAATGGTGTGTGTCCGTATGCCGTGAGCAGTGGCCATACTCACAGTTGGAGGGTCTGCGGTAGCTGGAGGTCAGGCCGCTGTGGGACACGGTGCAGTGTGTCAGGTTACAGTTACGGTTGTTCGGTGGGGCACATGTGATCACAGAAGGACGATTCTACACACACACACACACACACCAGATGAGCAAGTGTACAGGCAAACAAACACAACAACAACTAATGTATTCATTACTTCAATGAGCTCATTGTTTTTGCATTAAATTATTACATTGTAGTGTTGTAGTAAAATATCAATATTTCGAAAAATATCGATACTAAAATATCTGAACAGTACCAAAAGCGTGCTGTGGGCACCCAAAAGATTGCTTAACTATCAATAATCCCTAACACCAATCTTTTTTTTTAATTATTTCATGGGTGAAAACAGACTTAAGGAACAGGCTCAGCATCAGGGTTGTTTGGACAGCCCACTGCTAAAAAAATCCTAAAGGCAAAACTGTAACTCTTCTCATTTTAACTTCTCTGAAACAATAACCAAGATGGCCTAGTATTGTTGTTGATATGAATCTGTGTTGTCTAGTTTTTTCACCGTTTTCTTAAAGTTAACATAATCTAACTGAGGAATCTTAGACAAGCAATTATTGTAACTGTGGTCAAATGTAGATAACTTGTGCCAATTTAACTTCATAAAAAAATTATTATTTAATTCCGCAAATATATATACACAAAATAATTATACACACATATGTTATGCAAAAGCAAACTTTTGTTTTGGATGCAATTAATCGTTGCCCAGCACCAAAAAAAAACCACATAATAAGTAGCGAGCGTGTGTTGCAGACCTGCTGGCGCTCGACAGGGCTGAGCGCAGGCGAGATGCTGACGGCGCGCGTGTCCGTGTGTTTGGTCAGAGCAAGGGGCTGGTCCATGGCCAGGGTGGGCATGTGGGCGTAGAGATGCCCACCGACGAGACCCACGCTGGGGGGGGCGAGGCGCTCGATGGGACTGCGGCTGCGCTCCCGAAGGTCCTTGCGATAGTCCCCGTTGGCAGGTTTTCCTCTGCAAGAGAAACAAAGGAGGGATTGTAAAGTAAACGGCACAAACAAGCAGAGATATTAATGTATTCAGTGGGTCTGGCAAGAGTCGCGCACCTCCCGCAAGCGATGACTCTATAACAAGGGTTTGTATGGAGTCAATATTATACTCAAGCCTCCGCTTGCTGTGCTCAACATAATCTCTATTATTTTAACCCTCTGGTGCTCTTAGTGCATTTTTGACAGAAAATTTTCTTTTTTGAGTGTTGTGAAACTTGGTAAAGTTCTTGGCACTTTCTGTGTGAAAAAAAGACATGATTTGAAAAGGTTAAATGGTCCTGTAAACAATCCTCTAGTGGAAGTGTTTTGGTATTGCAGCCAATCTCACTGAATGCTCATTTACTGAGATATCAGCCTCAAAACACAACTTGAGATTTATGTCTTTGATTTTCTCATTTTTACAGTAAATAAAAAGTGGAAATAGTGTTTATGCACATTTTTCATAACAATGTAAAATTCTATAATCTTTTTTTTTAAGTTCACTTTTAAAAATAAGAAATTTAACGTCAGCAATAATCTTCCATGTGTAGTAAGGGTTAGTGATGCGCGCGTCGACTTGTAACCTGCGGTTAACCCGCGGGTCGGGTGAAGAGATGGTCACTTTATTTGTGGGGCGGGTCATAAATTGATTTTTTTTTTTATCCATGAATGTTGCTTGAAATTTCCAGCCTATATTAAATATTTGGTAATATTTATTTTCATATTTATACGGTTATTTGATAAGGTTACAATATGATTGCCGTAGCAACGTAACTTGCGTGAGGTTCCCAAACATTTGGTGTCACGTGACGCGTAACAAAAGCAGCGCGCCAAGCAGCTCCCGCCGCCAGCCACAACAACAACGGAGAAATAAAAGTGAAGATGGAAGACGAGGTGTGGGAGAAATTGAGGTCGGGAATATACATGATTGAAAGAAAAAAAGGTCAGGCTGCTAAATCTAATGTTTGGGAGCGGTTCTCAGAAGTAGTTGCAGCAGGAGACAACAGTAGTATCCACTACCTGAAGTACAACTCGTGTGAAAAATATACAAACAGTAGCGCCACAAAATGGGCACTTCCAGCATGTCAAGACATATTTTTGGGGGGTCTAAGAAATAAAAAATGGTTTAGCCTATTAGATGAATACAAATGTTGCTTTGTAAATGTTGAAAATGTTTATTAATATGGCCTGATTTATGGTTCATATTCATAATCGTCTGTTGTTGCCAGTTTACAGGGCGATGTTTCCAAGCACTTTCAGGCTGAAATAAAGGCTGTTTTCATTTACATTACAATGCCTAGTAGCTACTATGTCTATTTAACGGTAGCGGGTGTGGGCGGGTTATAAAAATAGAGCCAGTGGTGCGGTGCGGGTACAATAATTTCATAAAAGCAGGACCCGTGGGTTGGAAAAAAAGCCGACCGACGCATCACTAGTAAGGGTGTAATGGTATACAGAAGTCACGGTTCGGTTCAGACATCATGGTTTGATACGAGTTGGGTACAATTATGCATGTCTCAGGCTGTACCACCAAGTGTACTACATTGAGTAATTCATGTAATTAACATAATTAATTAATGGGGGGAGGGGTTATTTGGTAATTGTTTGGTTAATTGTTCTTGAATGAATTAAATTAATTTGCTATATTTCAGATCAATATATTATTTTTCCTTTAATTTTAATTAACACTAACTTTATTCTCATCTGAAATAATTTATATAAAAAAATTCATATAAATAATGTATATAAAATTTTTTGGTTTTAATCAATGTAGAATGTCTAACTTAAAAATAAACAGATTAGTGCTCTATTTGAGGACACAAAATGAAAAAAAATGCAATATGATGAATGTCCAAAAGATGTCATTAACAGACTGTTTTTAATGGGTTGGATTAATAGATATGATAACAGCTGTCTTTATGACTCATGAATGTTTTGCTGGTCAAACGGAATATATATGTAGTTCTAATTTTTTCCCCTCCTGTTTATCTACAGATCAGATCTAGAATTCTGAAGTGAAATAAAGTAGAGCTGTAATAATTTTGTTATGAATTAACCAGAGAAAGAGAGAACCCTAACCCTGTTTCCCAAACTTGCGATCTTAAAGGAACACCATGCATTCTGTTTTTGTCAAACAGGAGTACTTGTATTTAGCATTACTGTCGTAAATACCACTCGCGCAGAGTGTGACATGGCATGACATGTTACATACATATACATGTATATATATATATAGTAGTGTTTGAATAAAGGGTGGCAATCTTTCATAATCAACTGCTGTTGTGGACTATATACTGGAGGCATATTTTAAGGGGCTAATTGAGGAAATTGCTATATTTTTTATTAGTTTAAAAATAAAATAAAAATATCGGATTGGTATCGGCCGATACTCAGAATTTTGGTATCGGAACGGTTTTGAAAAAACGGTATCGTTGCATCTCTAATTTTTACATGTAGGCTTAAAATAGTGTAGGCTAAGCCTACCCATATAGATTTTTATTTAAAATGTATTTTATGTTGCTTAATGTTTCACATGCAACAGGTGAGCCAGTGCACAATTATTTTTATGCATTTTAATTTTCTGTACATAATTTATTTTGTTGAACTACATAAATGCCATTATCTTTACTGTATCCCAACTGTTACAATAAACATCAATTTAGCAACATAACATGCATTTTTATTCAGTATATAAGCAAAATTTTGCTTTTATGTTAAAAACACTATTGATACCGTGAGAAATTTACATTCTCAGGGAAATAGCCGCTTCTCAGTTAATCGTTAAGCGATTGATAAGTGTATTATAAATATAATTTAGTACTACAAAATTCCCTAAAATACAAAATATTAAATAAAAAATATTATCAGACTAAAATAGCTAAAATAATATATATATATATGTATTGGTCATTTTTGACCGACACTAGAAGAACACCAGAGAGGGTTAAAGAAGGGGGGTAATTTGATCGAAACCTGGTCAGATTAGCTCAACCCATGATGACTCGATGAGGAGGGGTTTTTATGGAGTCAACATTGCTTATACTCAAGCATTTGCTCAGTGTACTCAACACATAATCACAATTATTTTAAAGAAAGTTGTTTAATTTGATTCAAACCTCAGATTAAGATGAGATAAAACATTGCAAGCAGCATAAGCAGAACAAAACCAAATATTACTCTTAAAATGAAATGACAAAAAAACACATATAGCAACAATGTATTCCAAAGATAAATTATGTAGGAAGACCAAAAAGCATTATTGGATTAGCTCAGATCGCGCGCTACAAAAGACTCTTTCCACTACCGACCTCCTTTCCTGTTTTTCTTTCCCCCCTTTAAAAGAATAGACACACATGCAGCAAAAGCCCAGAGCGTTTTCCACCCTTCCGGAGCGATCGCCTCCTGTTGCCAACAGAGGAGGCCCAGCGAGGGGCACACCATTCAAAAGCCTTCATCTGTGCTTCACAGGAAGAGAACTTAATACCCTTCAGCAGCACACAAGCGCTGAACAACAGCAAGGGAAACTCGAATCAGGTATTTGAAGGAAATGCTTTCAATGCAGAATCAGTAACCTCAGTTTGGGGCCGATAAACGCAGAGCCTCGTAGAGCTCAGCTGTGTGGGATGCAATCCTTGAAATCGTCTGTTTCTTGGCAACGCTATTGGCAAGCGAAGCATCTGCAAGTAAATTGTTACGTCTACCGGAAATTACCATCCTCACAATAACGGATGGAAAGCTGGAGAGGGAAATCTGTCAGACACTAGTCCTTCACAATCCCCTCCACGGCCAGATCAACTTCCAGGGCAAAACATACGGGCCAGAAGACAATGAGATGTCATGATGTCTGGACGGATACATGTATAATCTTGCTTTACATGTGTGTGACTATCAGCACGACTGTAACAACAACAAAATACAAACAAAAACATAATCTTAAAGTTCTGGACTCACCTCCCCATGTTATTCAACAGGACGCGAGACCAACTAAAACAATTAAATTAAACAACTTCAAATGTCATTTTTCCAAAGGTGGTTTGTCATTTACTGTCGTTTTTATCATGCTGATGTAAGTTCAAGTGTTTGTATTTAAAATATTTTTTAGTTATTTAATGCGGTGGTGTGACGTGATGATTGACAGCTGTGATTGACAGGTTCTCTGAACGAAGTAGTCACTGAGGCACCAACAGATTTTTTCTAAGGTGTTCACAGACAAACACTCACAACACTCACCACAGACAAACACTCCTTGCGAAAGTGATATTTGTTCACGATATTCAGCTATAATTGATATCTAAGTTTTTTTTTTTTTACCTTATAGGAATCCAAATCAGGAATCAATAATAATCGGAATTGTTAAAATGCAATCGATACGCAACCCTGAGCTGGACCCATGGGTTTGGCATGTAAACTAACAATTGGGTTTGAAAATGGACACATACTCGCTAAAGTGGCCTCACCTTTTCACCATTGTACAACAATAACGTGAATCTATATCGGCTTCAGGCATGTATCATTAGCAGTAAGGTCAGATCTAAGAGAAAACCTGCTGAAAGCCTCTTCACTCAAGATCCTTTGAAAACAAACAGCAAAGAGGGCTTTTCATGAGCTCTTCAGTTCCTGCTACTCCTCTCTGATGGAGCAATGCTCTGGCAATAACCCACCAGTGCTTTCAGACACTCGCTCCGAGAACGGACATTCAGTTATTCGGGATACTGAACAGCATTTGCTACTTTCCCATGAAGCTTGGGTGTTTTTGAATGTTTTAGGCTCAATAGAATAGTAAATAATGAGCTAACTTTTAGTACTGTGACAGTAACAAGCCTAAGTATTAGAGGTGGGATAAAAAAAAAATTAAAAAATAAAAAAAATCAATCGATCCATCGCGATTCTCTCTCCAACGACTCTGGATCGATTCAGAGAATTTCAGAATAGATTCTGAGGTTAGATTTTAACCAGATGTGCGTAAAATCAACGTAAACACAGCCA